CCCCCATCAGGCGCCCCCCCCCCGCCCCCGTCAGGGGCCCCTTCTCCATCAGAGCGCCCCTCACCTGTTTGACGGCGGCTCGGAAGGCTCCCAGAATGGCTGCGGCCCCGCCGCAGTCCCGCTTCATCCCTGGCATGGTGGTCTGGGGAGGCACGGTGAGAAGAGGGGATCAGTGTGCCATGCCGAGACCAGCCGCGGCCCCCCATCCGCCACCCACCTCGTCCTCTACAGGGCCCCTGGCCTGCGTGGGTCCTCACCGGGTCACCTGGGTGCCCACAGAACTCGGGGTCCCTCTGGGGCACAGCACAGGGGCCTCCTGTCTCCCTACGCCACTGCCGTCACCTTCCTACAGGAGGGTCCACCTGCCACTCGCCTGCTGCAAGCCCCCCCATGTCACCTGCGGGACAAAGGCTGGCTCCTCACTTGGGCAGCAAGAGCCTTCAGTCACCACCTGACACCTCTCTGCTCCTCATCCAGACCCCCAAACACATCGTGTCACCTCATCACTGTCGGGGCACCCTCACCCCACCCTCCCCAGCAGCCAGTCCACACCTCCTGGTCACTGCTGGTCTAGGGAGGCTGCCTTCCAGGCTCCCCCCCCAACAGGGGTCAATGCTCTTTTCTATAAACTAGTCAAGAGTGGTTACCCACTTTTACATTTTATAGGTACCCAGCTCTGATCGACAAGTTCGTGTTTTAAATTAACAGGACATCACAAGTGAGGGTCTCGGTTTGGAATTTACTGAGTGATTTTTGAACCCTTGTAACATCACATGAGCCTCTAATTTTAGTGGAACGAATATTCAGGTATAAATCGAACTGCTTTTACAATTAAGCCTCAAGTGAAAATCCTCCGTCTAGCACTACTGGAAGTAAGTCACCTCTCCTCACTTAATCCGGAAGAAAGCACAGGATTGTTTAAATGGAAAAACGGGGCCTCAGGTCTGGAATCAAACCATTGGCAAAATGGCCTGCACGGAAAACCTAGGAATGGCGTTCACTTAGTGCTGTGTTCCCAACCTCACGGCGTCCCATCCACGGCTCCAAGTGCCGACCTGGCAAATAACAGCTCATTCGATTCTGTAAAGCCCTGCTAACTCCTCATACATCGTTTCTGTTCCTTATAAAAGAAGCTATGCTCGTAGTAATTACTGTTGTCAGCTGCTGTCAGGTTGTGTACAACAGGAAGAAATGCTGCCCGATCCTGCATCATCTTCACAATTGTTGCTATATGCTCGAGTCCACTGTTGCGGCCAGTGCTTATTTTGAGTGCCTTCCAACCTAGGGGGCACATCTTCCAGTGCTATATTGGACAAATTTCTGTTGTGATCCATAGGGTTTTCA